AAAAAAGTTCAAAAATAATTTACTTATCTTAATGTTACTCTAGTGACTTGTAGTCAGATGTCAGACATTGTCTAAGCAGGCAGCTACCATATATATTGCAAGAAAATATCCTATAATAAATTGAGTCAAAGTTGGTATTTGTTTGAGAATTTACATAAATCGAAGTTTGCTTATTTGAGTTCATATTTACTAGAGTGAAGAACAAAATAAGTTAGAATAGAAACCTCTTTTTTTTTTTTTTTTTTTTAAAATGAAACAAGTTTCATTGCACATCACAATAGCTAACGGTACACGGAGGAAAGACCTCCAACACAAAGCCCTCCAAAGCGGGATTAAATGCTATCAAGGCAAGAGCCCAAACTAAAACAATGGCCATCACAACTAATCGACAAACAAAAACTAGCAAAAAACAAACAGAAAAAACTATACAAGACAACACCAACCCAACCAAACCCAGGAACCAGACCAGGTGCAAACACATCCGGAATCAAGGTCTTCATTAATCATCAATAGTGTGAATGACACTATACCCCTGCAGCCCTAGATATAATTACCATATGTATCCATATTTCTTTCCTATAAATATAGGGTTTTGGTTCTCATTATAATACGCACAAGTCTATTGATTTCTCTTATTCTCTTCTCTTATTCTCTCTTTTCATAACACGTTATCAGTACGAAAGCTTAATTCTTCAAAGTTTAGAGAAGGTAGTAAGTTTTTTTTTTTTAATATAATTATCTATCACATGTAACAAAATTAATTTGGTGACGTGTGAATTTTTATATATATATACAAGGCGACTGCTTCTGTTTTTACAATTTCGTCGCCGCCATGTATATAAAACTTGGAAAATATGGTTTTCTTGGATTAATAATTTCTGCCACAATTGTACACCTTTATTTGTAAAGTTCTAGGTTCTTGTACTCTTGATTCAACCAGTCATGATTATTTCTGCCAAAATTGTACACGTTTATTTCCTTTCACAATTGTTCTAAAATATGTGATCTCTATTTTCTAGACGTATTCTTAATTACATTAACATTCTTTATATTGGTTTCACATATATATTATTGTTGTTGTTGTTGAATCTTTTTGCCTTTAATTAAATAGTACATCATGTTGTTGCTCCTGAAATAGCACAACATTATAATTAATATTCTCGAAGAATATTATTTGCTCCTAAAGAGCATAAATTATATTTTCAATATTCCAGAAGAATATTGACATATTACTCTTGAAAAAGCAATATTAGAATACAACGTGTTCCCAAAGTAGCACATGTTTCAAAGAACATACTATTTTAAATTAGTGTATATCCTTGAAGGAAAACACGTAACTTATGTCATATTAATATTGACTATTGATGTTGAATCATATTCTTTGAAATTGATTGTATTTTCTTTTGTTTTATTGTGTAGTTAAATCAAATGGCAAACATCACGAAATTTGAGTTTGTTGCACTTAACATATCTGGCGAAAACTATTTGTCATGGATACTCGATGCAGATATCCATCTTGTGTCAAAAGGTTTGGGAGAAACAATAAAAGAAGGAAACAAAGAATCCCTGCAAGATCGTGTAAAATCACTCATCTTCCTTCGTCATCATCTTCACGATGGATTGAAAATTGAATATCTCACTGAAAAAGATCCACATGTTCTTTGGAAAAAATTAACTGAAATATTTGATCATCAGAGAACTATAATCCTCCCTAAAGCCCATTATGAGTAGATGCATCTTCGTTTCAAGATTTCAAAACTGTTAGTGAGTACAATTTTGAACTATTCAGAATATGTTCAAAATTGACATTGTATGAAGAAAAAATCACTGATGAAGATATGTTGGAAAAAACGTTTTCCACTTTTCACGCCTCGAATGTTCTCCTCCAACAACAATATCGTGAGCGTGGTTTCAAAAGGTACTCTGAACTCATATCTTGTCTGCTTGTGGCTGAACAAAATAATGAATTGTTGATAAAAAAATCACGGGTCACGTCCAACTGGTTCTGTACCATTGCCTGAAGCAAATGGTACTACATTGTTTGAAACAAATACAATATCAAGATAAGGACGTGGACATGGACGCGCATGTGGACATGGATTTGGACTTGGACGTGGACGCGGAAGTGCACGTGGAATAAATCATGGACAAAATAATCAACAAAATTATTAGCAACGAGGCAATAATTTCAAAAGGCACAAAGCAAACTAAAGTAGCATAT